AGAGAGAGAGAGATAGATAGATAGAGAGAGAGAGAGAGAGAGACCGAGCAAGTGAGAACGACAGCACGTCTGCACCGCATCTCTGCGCTGATTCTGCGGGTGATGCTTGCACCCAGGCAGCCGTCCTCACTACTAATAGGGCATTTGATTAGCCGCGTAATCGTTAATTGTGAGCGAGAGAGCATTAACTGACACCATCTGCGTCTGCCTGGTCGAGTTTAATCGGAGCATGTCACGTGAAGATGCGGGATGACTATAAGGGGGGGGGGAGTTTTCACTAACAGGTCTTACAATCCGGGTTATACTAATACAGCCGCCATGTTGTGCAGCGCTGGAGCGTCCATTAGCCATATAATGAGGTTTGTTTTCTAGCGTTACGAGCGGAAACGTCGCGTGACCAGCTTGCTGCACGGTACATGCACTGGACGCTATGATTCCGCGTTTTTTTCTTTCCGCAATCCGCAAAAAATAAACACGCCACGACGTCGGCGTAGCGATAGCAATCCATCTTCTCCGACGTCGCGATATTGCCGAGAGCGCGACATCTAGCGGATGTCTCGCCCGACAGACGATGAACGATGCGTCGCGTCCGCTGCGATGACAATTGCATTTTCGGATTCAGCCTTGCTCGATTACTCGGCGCCGCACGCCTTTCGCCTATAGCGAGAATCGTTTCTCGGTTCAAACGCTGAAACCCGATGCTATTAAACGCAGCGCGAGCGCCTGCGTGCGTGTGGCGGTGGCGACGATTGCTCGCCATGCCTACGTGGCTGTCACGCCAGTTTGATTGCCAGCACGGCCAAAGCCGGACGGTCAATACCTCGGCGCTTTATCGATCAGAGCTAATATGCACTGCTTGCTGTCACCGGCGTATCACCCCTAATATCACTAATATTGGATACGGCCGAGGTACGTCGAAATTAAGCGTAGCTCCTCCATTCACCGATTATTAGAGCAGAATTCAATAAAGGGGGAACGTTGGCGCGGCTTTGGTATCGCAAGCACGCAAGTGATAACCACCACAGCGTCGTGCTGCGATCCATGAACGCTTATATCGACCTTCTATATGCCTCGGCGCTGCATTTAATAAGCACAACTATGTAATCAAACCCCACTTTAGTCAACTGATAACTGCGCTGCAGTGGGGAGTTTGTTTAATGGTTATTACACCCAGAAGTGGCTTCGGCTGCGGACGGAGTCTGCCGCCGCCTCGGAGAAACGCCGGTTAATTATCGTTATCTGTTGGCCAATCAGATTATCGATTGGTCTCGCTCGTGTGCGCTCGTTTGTAGTGTTAAATGATTCGCAGTAAATGAGCCAGCGCGCCATACAGACGTCTCTATCGCGCCAGGCAGCGGCCGTTGCACGGCACGCACACACAGAGAGACGCGCATAGCACGCCGCGCCGCGCATACGTACGCACGACGCGCGCGTAGTTGTAGGTATTATAATACTAATAGCCGCGTGAGCAGCAGCAGCGGCGGCAGGCAGGCAGGCTCAGCAGCAGCACCCCGGCATGATGGAGCTGTTTCCCGTGCACCTCCCGCAGCCACGCGCCGTGCCGCGCTACACAACCCCCAGCAGCTGGCACCCGCACATCTACGAGAAGACGCTTCACGATCCGACGCCACACTTCATCGCCGACATCTTAGGCTGGCCGGCGTGCGGGGCCGCCGACGCGACGCCGATCCGCGCGTCGGGGACGACGACGACGACGGCGGCGGCGACGACGACGACGACGACGCACGTGGCCGCTGCCGACCGAGACCGGATCTCGGAGGGGAGCAGCAGTGGTACGTCTAACGGAAGGACGTCGGTAGACACGACCGCGTCGAGTTCGAGCGAACACGCCGTAGCTCTACCAGCGACACCGCGCGACAAGTCACAAGGTAAGACACAACCGCCGCTGTTCTAGTTAGTCGTTCTAGCTCCAAGAAACGGTCTTGCTAGGGTTAGAAGACCATCATTCCTCTCCATCAGTTATAGACAATCAGTCGCACAGGCTCGTCAGGCTACTGTCCACAGGCACTTGGAACGTCTCAATAAAAATAAATAATGGTAAATAAACACGAAATGTATTTACTACCAAAGTCCTAATGTTTCTCTACTCTATTTCGCTAATAATCACCTGTAAATGCCGGTCAAATGCTTTAATGATAATAGGCGAAATAGAGTAGAGAAACATTAAGACTTTGGTAGTAAATACATTTCGTGTTTATCTACCTTTATTTTTTATTGAGACGTTCCAAGTGCCTGTGCTACTGTCGTTCTAGCTAGACACAACCACGCGCTGTTCTACTTCTAGTTAGATATAGCAACGCGCGGTTGTTCCAGCTAGACATATCCGTACGAAGTTGTGCTGGCCAGACACGGCCACACGATGATGTTGTTCATAAGCAACCGGCGTACGTCATTGGAAGACATGTTGTTGATGTTCTCCTAATAGCGTCAGTGCAAGAGCAAAGCTATATGTTGTTTTTTGCTACGGTGTTGTCACCGTCGATTCGTAGCTAAGGTATTCCGGCACAGCCATGCAGTAGGCACGTCCGTACGGTGTTGTGTTTGAAGTCGTGTCCGTATCTCTCCGTAGCCCGCACTTGACGTTCGTACACAGGCGACTTTATTGTTTTGACTGTACGCGGGCGATTACGGCTGCTGCCACCGCTGCCGTGGTGGTGGTGGTGGTTAGATACTGTACGCGGAGGGTATAATGCCACGCTGGGCGCGATAGCACACGCTGATTCGCATTCCTATCCGCGCTAGCCGCAGCACACAGTCAGTCAACACCGCATGAATTCACGACAAGGCGCCGGGAGTACCGCATATTAAACGCACGTACGTTCATATATATATATATATATATATATATATATAT